GGATCTAATGTATTTGCCTCAAACAGTTGCTGAGTGAATGAAGGAAGGAGGTAATTCCCACAAAGAGGCAGGGAGAGGTTACCTTTAATGTATCTGACCTTCAGTAAGCAGATGAGTTTATGCATTTTATTCTCTTTTAAACAAAAGCAGCAATAATAGAATTTGTTTCCTGTCACATTTTCAACCTCCCTCTTGGAATTATGCAAGAAGCTTACTGCAGATCTAAGCCCTGGGGTTGTGTTCATTGTTTTAAAGGAGCATGACAGGGTGAGCTTTTCTACCTGTGTACATCATTCAAGGCCTGGCACACACCAGAAGACTACCCAAGATGTTTAGTCTACTTTTTAAAGTAAAATTTATGTCACATATACCTGGATTCAGCCAATTATAGAACAATTTCCTCTGCAAGGTGAACCTAACCCAAACGAAACCATGGGCTGGGTAAGGTGAGGTTCTTTCACTTACTTTATGAAAATGATCAAACCAGATGATTAGATTGTCCCTTCTAGCCGTAAGAGCCTATGGGTGCTTGTACATATGACAAAATTGGCCTTTAAACTGGCTTAACTGCCCTTCTGAACTGTGTTAATGGCATTGCTGTTTACATGTTTAGTGGTGTATTCCACTTTAATTTCATGATGATGTACATGTTCTGTGTCGTATTTAACTTTAAATAACTTTGTTACATAGCAAGGTAAAACCTTTCAGAGGTATTTTAGTTTGCTACGTAACAAAGTGCAATGGTGTGTGGGGTGCTGGAAGCTGAGACGGACTCAGGGAAGCTTGGGCTTGCAACATCCCATGCACCATCGTCTGCCACCAGCATATCAAGCCACCCTCCTGCTACCCTGTCGCTTTGCCCCAGGGGCAAGCCAGCCCATTCCTGGGTAGTCCCATGTGGCGGGAAGGTGGCGGGGATGGTGCATGGGGCGTTGGAGCCTACCGGTCTCTCCCAAGGGCAGGGGGCAAGCTGCCGGGAGGCCAAGTGGCCCCTGAGGTGTGAGAGACCCTGGATCTTTCCTATATGGTGGCGGCGTCTCCCAGACAGCACCCACCTGCAGGCACCTGACCTGGGAGGTCCTGGGGGGTGCCACCATTGTGGAGGGAAGCACCAGGCCCCACACAGCTCAGGGGCAGGCTTCACTAAGAAAAAAAAAAAAAAGAAAAAAGCATCTTTTTTTTCCTCCCGTAGCCTGCTTGCTAGCGTGAGCTGTACAGTGCTTCCCTGTGTGGCTGCGGCACTCCCTGAGACCACCCAGGTGGGCTTCTAGCGGGCAGGTGCTGCCTGGGAGTTCATTGCCACCATGGAGGAAAGAACCGGGGTCCTCTGCAGCTCAGGGACTGCTCAGCCTGTTGGCAGCTTGCCCCTGTTTCTGCGGAAGAGGCAAGAAGTCTCGGGGGGGAGGGATGAAGAGAAGAAGACTGGGCCCCTCACTGCAATACTTTTTTTCTGGTGGAGCCTGCAAGGTTGTGGGGGGAGGAGACGGACAGTGAGTGAGCCAACAGGCAGCTGTGATGCACTGTGATGTCACGTGACATCATGGAAGTCCCTAAATTGAAATGGTGGGTTTTTAATTGGGTCATTAAAAAGAAAATCACTGTTTCAATTTAGGGAGAACTAAACCCCCGTTGCATGTACAAGCACCCTATGTGTCTAAGAATTTAATTTCTTCTGTTACTTCAATAGATCTAGGACTTCACACTGTATTTTTAAGCTGCATGTGATGCTTTAGAAGCAAATTGATTACACAGGATTACCTTAGATTAGGTTACATTAGATTAGCTAATGACCATAACACACAGTTCTCTTTTTGGATGCAAGTCATGATAAAAGTTATGACAAAATCATGTAAAATTAAGTCATAGGTGGCTTTTGACATGAGGAAGTTTGAAATTGTGCTCACCTGTACATTAAAGATGTGCCGAACACAATTCTTTTCGTGAGTTACTATAAAATCCTTCTGCAGATACCTATCATTGTTTTCTTTAAATAATCCTCTGGAAGTCACTCTAGATGACTGGAGATCAGCATCCAGTGTTGCATTGTATCTAATTGCTAGAAAAAGAATGAACAACATTTTTGCTGAGCTTGGCTTTCACAGTAATCACACGGCATTTGGCTTCAATATTAGGGAATGATTGGTTTTGCCAGAAAACCTAAATATTTTACTGTTTTGTGTTAAGAGTGCAACCAAAGCAGTCTCAGAACTACAGTGGTCTATCTTCCTACTAAAGTTAGTCTAACAGAGTTAAAATGCTTAAATAAATGTTCATATCTATAAAGAGCATATCAAATGGCAATCAATACATTATCTCCTACAGATGTACACATCTATAATTTGGGCAGGAGGCCAGTCTGTAACACCAAGAATATTATAGATAAACACACCACAATCAGATCCCAGAAACCTACAGAATACTGCATATTTTAGTCCCTGAAATATAATTTGTCAGCTTGAAGATTAAAAAAAAAATACTATGGCTACTATTGTAAAAATTCAATTTTATTTTGTTGCTTAACAGTCATGATCAGGGTTCATGGTTTTCTCCGATTTAAGAAAATACCCAATTTTCAGTTAAAAAAAGGTAACCCCAAATCCACATTTTTCCTTGATTAAAATGAAACGCCACTATATCTATATCGATATCTATCTATACCTATAGATATCTATATATATTACTGGTGTTTCATCTAAATCATGGAAAATGGGGATTTGGGGTTACTTTTTTAAACTGAAAATTGGGTATTTTTTTTAAATCAGAGAAAACCAGGATCCCTGGTCATGAGCACTGGCACTCGTCATATGAAGTGGAAAAATGATCAAACTTATGTTGCCAATTGTAACAGGTGAGCCTCTTGTAAAATTTTCCCCATGCTTTTATCATAAATATTTGAAGATCAGTAGGCTCCTTTTTGAAAATCATTAATTTCCTAAAAGCTCAGATAGACCAGACTACTGAGTAACCAAGGTTTGCATTTAAATAATCATATAATTGGGGGGGTTTTCTTCTTTATTTTCCAGAACAATAGCTTGCCTCTGCTCATCAGATGGAGCAGAAAGTTCAGCACAAAGCACTTGGCTTGGGTGACTAGTTTTGTTAAATATGTTGGCTGCTGTTGCTTTTAACAGTATTGCACAGACAAGACCTAGTGTTTTCTACTTCCTTATCTCTCCAAAGCTGATCAGAGTGGCCCAGCCAAAGACTAGCTGGTGAGTTCAAGGGGGAATAACAGTAAAATTACTTGATATCCCTGACCTTTATTCCTCTCCCTAATGGTACTTTGTGGTAGAAGATGTGAGGAGACTGCCCTGTCCCTTGAAAGTGAAGGAGAACTTCCTTTAAAAGACAATAAGGAAATACTATCAGCTGGGATTTAAAAATGAAACAAATAAATATATTTTATAGTTAAATATTGTGGTAATTCCTTCTTTTCTGGTTTGTCATCCAGGGTTTGTTTTTAATTTTCCTTTATATTTACATTACAACATTATCAACAAAACTGATGTAAACAATGTGGTGGCTGTTCTTACCCACTTGGTTATTTCTATTAGCAGGCCTAAATGTGGCATCAAAACATATGTCAACAAGTATCTCAGTGTTCTTGTTCAGTAGACTGATTTTTTCAGGTGCAAATGTGGCACCGATGGAGACATTTGCAATGCTTTGTGACCTGAAACATAAAAACAAATAGCTAAGTGGGGTTTTAAGGACTCTTGATAAATCAGAAACTTTATTCTGGGATGGGCCTGCCTGTAATATTTTGGTTATTGGTTCCTACTGTAAACAACATGCCAGCTTGGTAGGTAGTTTTCTTTGGATTTCACAAGCGTAGCTGTAGGTAAAAAGTAGGTTTAAAATGGCTAATCCTCTTTTTGAAACATTTCTTATGTAATCATGGTAGTTGATATAACATCGGGGGTACTTGAGAAGGTCCTAGGAGGTACACGTGGGCAGGTGGGGAAGCACTGCCACGCACCATCCTCCTTTGGTACATTGCTCCAAAAAGGTTGAAAACCCCTGATATAACATAATGGGATATTTATGGGGAGTGAGACCTGATGAAGAATGTCTTTCATCCAAAAGCTCATCTAACTTTATCCCACCTACATAAGTTGGTCCAATAGAAGATATCACCCTAAGAAATCCTCGTCTCTTGCATGATTGTTTTCATGAACTTTTAATAATTTTTCACCAGTTAGAACAAATCACACTCTTATATTTGACTTTCAGGGCAACTGTCCCTAAATCGTTCTTTTAGGAAAGTCCCTGACATTATCTGAGGAAATGCAGAAAAGTTACATTTCTTTATTAATGAACACTTTTTTTTTTCAAAGAAAGATGCCTCTCATAATAACCAGTCCTGATATGGACAAAAGTCACTGAGAGAGAGAAACTATTTATAAAGTTGTGTTTCAACTAAGCTGTACTCTAATGTGCATGGGGAAAAAAACATGGCTTACGAAAGCACACAACATTTTCTGCTTGTGAAGTGATTTTTTTGTAGAATTGACAAAACTGTCTTGGCAATTGCTTTCCGGACAAAAAATAAATTTTGCCAAAAAAGGGTGCCAATTTTTTTTTCCACTGCTCTACGTGCTTACTTTACTGGACAACTCTTCCAAGCAAGACAGTCTATCAAAATGTCATTTGTTATTAAAAGTAATTGAGTCCAATGCTTTTTTTTAATTTGCTACTATGTTAGCATAATTACAAAGAACAAAATTAGCTCCATACCCATAGCAGTTTTTTCCTCCATTTTGTTAAATGACTGTACCCCGCTTACACTTGAAATATTAAAAAAAACTATCTGATTAAAGTAACTGACAAACCAGAGTTGCACGACATTTCCGTCAGCACCAACAGAAACATCAGTCATGTTGTCACCATTTAAGTCTCTGAGCCCATCTACTGATCTTCCAAAGTACTGGAGTTGCTTTCTAAAAGCAGAGTCTGATCCTGTAATTTTCTGGAAAAAAGAGCCTGGTTAATCAATGTTGCACATAATTGTTAATCTCTACAAAGAGAAGCATTAGCATTTGAATTTTAGGGGCACTGTGTTAATATGTAACATACTCATTCAGACAATTTTTTGTGGATATTTTCTGTATTATTTTTAAGCAATTTTTTCCTCTGGTCCCAAGTTAACAGATTGCTGTATTCCAGCTTTCCTTTACTAGATAATTTTATTCCCATCAATCAATATGGCCAAGTATAATAAATTTAATGGAATTTAACAAGCCTTTCAGCAGGAGGAAAGTTCTCACTGAAAAACTATTTTGCTAAAAACAACAACAATAACACTACCATACAGGTGGTACTATTATAGTTACTGTTATTATTATTAGTAGTGTATTGAAGCTGGATGCAAAATTTTCATGCATTTCTTTCCAAGTCTCTTCCTTAGCTACTATATATTGAAAGATTTCAGATTTGGGATTAATCCAATATTTGCTGGTCTACCACAGCTAGAAAAAGTTGCAAAAAAAGCCTGAAAAAATACTTTTCAGGAAGTGAGTTTCCTTGGTGTACAAAAGTCAAAAATACATAGTATCCTCATACTTCTTCCCCACATATGTTCATGTCACTTATCCCTCCACCTTTAATATCAATGCTACCAGTCTCATCTTCACAGTAATAATGTAAATGGTGTTGAAAAAGCGAACAGAAGACAATGCTGCTATTTAAAGAGGAAAAAGGAGCGGCTCAGAATAAACCCTCATTTTAATTAATCTTCCATCTTGAATCTAGCTCAATTGTCATATTGAAACATAAGACTTGGAATATAATAGTATTTAACAAAGTAATTTACCTGGGAATATTTGGTGCGAAGTGTCCTTTGATTTCCATTGTAAATGTAAATTGCTCCAGCATTTTGGTGTTCTAAAGGTGCGCCTATTATCACATCATTAAAACCATCCAAATCAATGTCTGAAAGCATTGCAATAGCAGATCCAAACCGAGCATTTTCTAACCCATTTGGACCTTCTAAGAGTTCTCGTTGATCTAAAATTCCCTTAAAAATAAAGAAAGAAAACAAAAATATTGTTTTACTAGATCAAACAAAATGGAAAAAAAATCTGTGTATTATTATTTCTAATGTGTATTAACTTGGTCTTAGCAACACTGAATTTCATCTGCAAACCCACTGTCTAGTTTGCAATGTTATATCCCATAACTGTGGCAAATACTTCAGAAGAAAAAAATAAAACATATTTTGCATAACAAAGAATTACAGCTAATATAAACTTAAATATGTCTTAAAGATCTTCTGTGTCTTTATGTTATTGTTTTAAGTATTTTGAAATTTTTAGAAGATACATCAATAACTAAAATTTCCAGTTTTGGTTTACCAATTCTTATGCACAGGAAATGGGAATTTTTGTGACTGGCCATAATTCTTTGAAAGAGGGCCAGAACTTCCTAGCTAACTAATGCAAAACCCAGGTGTGTAAATTTTTCATTCCTTGAACATTTTCATGTCAACTAAGGAAAAAAGCATGGAAGAATCATTTATATCTTCATAGCTGCCATGCTTTATGTCACTGCTTTGTATACAAAAAATGCTAGAAATGCTGGCCAGATTGTTTATCCAAAATGGCTAGCAATTTAATTCTGGTGATATATGTAAATGATACAAATCAACTTTATTTTTACATAAGGGGTGTCAAACTTACCTGGCCCTGTAGTATGCATCTGGATGAGTGGGAAAGATAAGTGGCACAGGGATGGTCCATGGGCCAGACCAGACCCAGAGACCAACCATGCATTCCGGATCCAGTGCAAGTCCTGGAGAGGCCACCATGGGCCTCCTGGTCCTGCTCTGGCCACTTAAGGACTGTGCTGTATGTGGCAGCCAAATGCTGGGGCTGTGCTGCATGGCCTGGAGCTGCCACTACAACACTGTGCTGCGTGGCCCTGGAACTACTGCTAGAGGGCTTTGCTGCATGGCCCAAGAACATGATGCTAAAGGTGGCACATGACCACTCTGGGGCTTTGCTGCTCTGGGACACAAGCCACAGTGGGTACCATTTGCAGTGCATGGGGCCATCTGGTGCACCCCATATGGTGCACCCCATACTACCTGTGGGTCACTCTAAGACCCACGGGAAGCCGGGTGGCACCAGGGGCCAGATTATACCCTGCCCCTCCCCCATTTAAATTACTGACTCTCCACATTCTGACAAATATTTTTAAAATAAAATTAATTGTGTCACTTAAACAGAAGAAAAGTGTTAAGACATTTCCCAATCTATTTGATTTACAAAACTGAAAACCTCTTACATCAAGTTCTATTTTTCTTTTTTCTTTTTGCCTAATTTTCCATTGCCACATAGAGCTGGTATGTCAGCTGTCAACAGTAGCACTTTTGTCCTGCTTAGCAGCCTGTAAAAGCAGAGTTGGAACTCTGAGAAGTGAGAATTCATTTTTCACCCCCCACACTCAGTTCTGCAGATAAGAAACCTCTCTATGGGACCTCCACTCTCCCTGAAACTGTCTGTGTTCCCTACAAGAGATTTCCAAGTTAAAAAAAAAAACAAATACAAAACTATTTTGCAGATAGGGACTGATCTATCCACCGACTCACATAGGCAACAGCTTTGCCGTCCTTATATGCTACTTGATTTGACTGTTTGGTTTCAATACAGGTGCTATACAACCAAATCTGTAAGGGTAGCTCTAATCAGGAGAAGAGTAACACCGCTTAATCTGTAGGTTTCACAAATAAAAATCTGCATTCTGTTTTCTATGATTAATGGAATTATCTTGAATATGGTGTTTACCACTCACTCTTGAGGCTGTTCATGGATTCCAAAAGTTTCAGGAGTTTTAATGCCAATATTCAGTCATTTGAAAATATCTCCTGGATGTTTGTTGTTTAGAGGATTTTAAAAGATTTGAGTCAGCCAATCATGAGGCAGAAATAATATTCTGTGGCTTAAGTGAGGTGAGGTGAGGTGAGAAATGAGAAACCATGAATAATAAATAGAGAATAAGCAATTTAATGGTTTGCAGACAATGCATAAGCAGAGATCATTTATCAGAATGATTTTGGGAAGAAAAACAACTACTGAACAGATTTGCCAAAATCAGAATCAGACTGCAAATGATTCACTGGCCAAAATATTATGGCTGTAAGCTTTTTAGGTCATGGATCACTTTTTGTTATTTGTTGGTACAGTATGATTCCTTGATCAATTGTAGTTATAACTCCACTTCTCAGTAAGACTTCATTACCAGAAGCCTGGAGTAAGAACTGAAAATATGAAAGATATAGATGCCAAGTCTCAATGCAAGCTATCCATCCATTTAATTATTACCTGTCTTATGGAGAACATGTAAACTCTTCCTTCTTCTTTCTTTAGGTCATTCATAAACATCGGTGCCCCCACTAATAGCACATCTGTAACTGAATCTCTGTTAACATCCACTGAGCATACCACACTGCCAAAGTAAGACCCAATCTGAAATTGACAGCAAGAGAGTCATTTTTATATATGTTATAAATTATACTATTTTAGAACATGATCCTCCAGAAGAACCATAAAGATCACACTCAAATTATATAATGAGTGGACAAACTAAAAATTGGGCCTTGAATGTTATGGACTTGACTACTTGCAATATTTTTGTGTGCGCAATAAAAATGCCAAATCAGAAACCTGTTTAGTGTACTTTTTAAAACAATATTTTTAGCGTATTCAACCCATTGGATCCTTTTCTTAGCTATTTGATTTGATGGGATTTGTCAAGAGCAAAAGCTGTTCAAGGTCTTTATTGGTACGTATTTACTATCCTTAAGGAAAAAAGCTCTCTCCCCTACACCAAAGCCTGAAAATGCAGGGTTAATTTACATGCAGGGTTGACTGCATGTAAGCATAATCAGAAAAATACAGCACTCTCTGAAAGTTACAGAATGTGTCTTAAACATTGAAAGAGCATAGCTGCAGTGAAAGGGTCAAATAGGATTCTAAATGTTTTCCAGGAATATGAATTTTCAAAAGAAATGTATAACAGAGCAAATATGAATAAGTATTTTTACTGCTGTGTCTTAAAAAAAATAGACATCTACAGAATTAATGTTGGTGATCAAATATTTATACTTGCCTGCTCTCCTCTCTGGGACTGAATGACTGTGACATTGCCATGACTGTCAACATCATAAACCACTACTCTGCCAGTGTAATTGGATCTTGGTGCACCAGCGACAAAATAAACAGCCTCTTGAGTTGAGATAACAGCAACAGAATAACCTGGGAACAGAAGTTAACATGCTACATATGAGATATCAGGGAAAAGTAGAGTTAGTTATCAGTAAAAGCAGTATAGATGAAATGATCTGGTGTCTTAGTTATGGACATTTATGCAGCCAGGTTGGAGATTTGGGTTTAGAAGATATGTTACATGTATGTACCAAATTCACTTATGCTTGAATTTATTAGGAAGATATTGTTTTCAAAGGTAGAAAACAAAATAAAAATTCTTTTAGCACTTGGACAGAGAAACTCTGACAATAGTCTTGTCTATTTAGTAAGGTGCTGAGTACAAAGAGGTCATCTGGGTGTGATGGTAGAAATGGTAGCCCTAGAATAACGAATGAGGACAAAACATCTGAGCCAATCTTCACGCTGGGTAGGCCTGCAGAGAAATACCTAGTTACTATAATAGCCTCACCATCCTCTTCCGCAAGACACAATACCACTGCTTTGAATGTCTTTAATACCTGAAAACATTTTAAATCCATATAAATCCACTGTAAGCCTGTATATACAGTATCTTTTGCTTTACTACACTAACTTTACTTTAACAGAAGAGAAGTAAATTGTTTTGTTTTATAGTACCTCAGCTTACACTGAAGAGCAAAACACAGTTAGGACACAACTTCTCACCACTTCCTATAAGGCAGCTAAAATAAATCAGAATAAGTGATTTTGAAAATGTGCACCTTGAATTAATTCAAATCAGTATTAAAAAAGGAGAGGTCTTCTCAGGCAATATATAAATTTGTTCTAGGGAAAGCCTTATATTGGGCATTGGTAAGATGCCAGGGGGATCAACGGAGCAGTCTGTCACTAAGAGAGAAAACAAAGCTAGCACAGATAAATGATGAAAACCCAAATAAAAATGATCTTTTTAAGCATTACAAACTATATGACCCTCTCCTATCTCTTCCTTTTTCAAAGTGCATAATGTGTCAGTGTGGTGGATACAGGATCTCACCAAACCACAGAAAGCAGAACATGGTAAAGAAGAAAAAAGTTAGTAAGTAAATTCTACTACGTGCAAATATTTCAAGGATAGGAAATTGATACTTAACTTGTGAATAAGTATTCTTTTAGTAATAAGGTGCCAGAGAAGATAAGTTTTCAAAAAATAGTTGATGTAACATGGCAGATTAATAAACCAAGACAGGGCTATCCAACTGGTGGCCTATGGGCTATATGTGGCATGCAAGAGGTTAGCATGTGTCCTTGGACTGCTGCCCAACCACCACTCCACTTCAGTGGAGCTCCTGCTCCAGTGCCAGCAGGGTTCTCTGGATTCCCCCTTCCTCTCCCAGCTTCTGGTTCTTACCCCTGATGCCAAGGGGTGGGCTAGTACAGCTGGAGTACCCGGGCTGTGGGTGCAGCAGTGTCTCCAAGATGCTTATGCTTCACTCAGGAAAAAAAAAAGAAGCTGGACTTTGGAGGCTGCACATGCAGCAGGAAAAGGAGCCAGGCTGTATGTGCAGTGGCAGCAGGAGGGCTGCTACTTGCATAGTGTGCCTAGAAAGGAGGAAGGGAGTGTAACTGTGCATGCTGCATGCACAACAGGGGAAGGAGCTAGGCCTCACAAGATGCAGACATGGCAAGTAAAAGAGCTAGGCTTCCAGCACGGTATACCTGACAGGGATGGTATGGGGAAGGGGAGAAAGCAGGCTGTGTACATGGTGGCAAGGAAGGGGACGTGTGCGAGTCTCAACCACCCAGAGAAGCCATGGCAGGTTCAGTGGTAGCCAATCTCGGGGGGGCACGTGCCCCCCTACGTGTTGCCTATGCCCCCAGTGGCCCAGAAGTTGGACAGCCCTGAACTAAGAGAATCAAGTTGGCTGGTTTGGCTGAGTACAGAAATGATTCTGAAAACAAACAGTGGATATTCATAAAACTTCTGTTAAACTCTAGTCATGTTTCTAAAGCCATGAACCAAACTGAAAAAGACAATAGAAAGAAAGAGCATAGATGAGCTGATGACAACTGAGCAGCTTTTGATCTAGTTGTAATGGAGGAATAAATAGGTAAACAGAAATAATGGTCATAAATTTAATGCACTATATAGCCTTTTCCAGTTCCTTTAACATCTTATATCCTTGTGATTTTTTAAAGGATATTTCAGAACATCCCATTAACATTTCAGTTATTCATCCATATTTTATGGAGAACTAAAATAATAAAGGATTTTGTTGAATCCATGATCAGTAAATAAAACAGATTAATGTTCAGTAGGACTGTACGAAGCTTCGGGTGGTGATTCGATGTGGAGGAGATTCGGCCCGATTTGGTGGCCGAATCTCCGAATCTGAATTGAATCAGGGGACCAATTTAAAAGGCCTGAATTGATTCAAAGCTCTCCAAATCTTCAGAAAAGATTTGGAGAGCTTTGATGATTCAGGTAGTCCCCGGTGGCTGCAGCAGGGAGCTGCAGCTGACTCCAAGCTGGTAAATACTAGGGGAGGGGACCATGGGGGAACCCCTGCCAGCCCCACAACCCCCCCTGCTCCTCCAGCCCCCCCACCTGCTCGCCCATCTCCCCACCCCACTCCTCCCACTCAGTTCTTTAAAGAAAAGCCCTGGTGCTCACCAAGTGCTGCCTGAAGGGGGGGGCCGTGGGGGGTGATCCCTGTTGCCCCCTACTGCCTATGCTGCATGGGGAGCTCTGCCATGAGCCACCCCCCACCCTCTGCTCCCCCATCCCCCCCATGGGTGCCCCACCCGGGCCAGTTCTGGCCCTTTAAGAAAAAGTAACCAAGAAAAGCCCAGGGACTCACTGCTCCTGTAGTGGCCTTGGGACTTTGGGGGGCTCATGCAGAGCCCCCCCACATGGTGTGGGACAGTGGGCGGCAGCAGAGATCACCCCCCTGCCAGCAGGAGTGGTGAGTTCGGGGGTTTTCTAATTTTTTTTTCCTTAAAGGGCTGCAGCTGGCTCAGGCGGGGCACCCATGGGGGGCTGGGGGAGTGGGGTTCATGCAGCGTGGGGCAGTGGGGGGCAGCAGGAATCGCCCCCCTGCCTGGCAGCATCCGGTGAGCCAGGGCTTTTTTTTTTAACAAGTACCAGGAGCTGAGGCAGGCAGGGCAGCCATTGCCAGGCTGGGAGAGTGGGTGGGGGATGGGCCTGGCTGATTCAGAGATTCAGCAGCAGCTGACTCTCCGAATGAGACTCGGCTGAATCGAATCAGGACAGTGATCCGAATCACCAAAAGTCCCCCAAATCGGCCAGATCCGAAGTGAATACTAGCTTCTTCACACAAGCCTAATGTTCAGCATTCTTTTTTCCTCCCAAGTCAGTTTTTAAAAGTACTCTGTAGGATGGATAAACTTCTGACATATTAGGCAATAAATATTTCAGCCCCTTACCTAGGTATGAACTATGATTTCTGTCTTGTAGGATTTGTTCAAATGTTTGACTAGGAAATGTTGTCGCTTTGTTTGATGACTCCTGAATTACAGTTCCACTCCAGTCATAAGCCCCAACAGCACCCAACATCAGAAGGTCCTTAAAGCAGTAAAATTAAAATGTAAGAACTTCCTGCTTCTTTGGTTAGCACAAGGGAGTTGGGAGATAAATTATGTGAATTATATCATCATTGTGATTCTATTTAAATACTTGTAAAACTCAGGTGTGAGCTGGACAGCACAATAAATAAAGATCTTGAATTCTGTGGACACAATGGCTTCTAATATTGCAACCAGCAAGACAGCATCCAAGTCCTAACAAAATTTTAACCCAATATACTCCTACAAATCTATAAAGATGTCGTATCGAATTTAATAAACACTGGAAAAGCTTTCTTAATTTTTGCTGTTTTCTATCCGTAAGTGCCCAATTTCTTATACCATCTATACTGGGTTAATATTGGAGTTCTTTTTCATCCTTTAAGTTGCTTTAGAATTTTTTGTGGGGAAGAAATAACTAAATGGAGATAATTATTAGGTTTTCAGAGTTGAAAAAATATTTAAACACTATTTAAGATATTTAGCCTAGGAACTCTAGAACTGTGGTTGAAGTGTTCTAAAACTTATTTATGAAGAAAAATATTTTTATAGTATTACAGTATTTATTCTAAGTTATATGTATAAGGTTACAACATAAAATATTCTTAACTTAAAAATACTGTACTGTAGTTTCTTCAGACTAAAAACTTAAAAAAAAATCCTCACAGGATTGAAATCAAACATCCAAAATTTGAGCTCTAATTTGCAGGATTTGTTTGAGAAAAATCATAAGCAATTGAAAAAACCTATTAAATGCAGAACAGATTATTCAACATTAATTATCATTACTAGAAAATGGTATAATGCATGAAATAGGATTTCCATCTTTACCTAATATATTTTCTCCCTCTTTTATGAATTTATAAAAAACCAATGTCAGGGAGCTGTAACTCAAGATGGCTGACAGATGTTAATTTACTTGCACAATTGGTATCTGATTAATTTTATGCCAGATCCCAAAAATTGTGCTTCCTGACATACCACACAGTTCTTGAAATAGGCCATAAAATTAGCTGGGTTCCAACTGTGAACAACTACCAGGGTTTTTAAGTGTTAGGTCCCAGAGATCAAGGAAAGGCCCCTACATCCTTGATTTCCAGTCCCTGGGGATATTTAGAAAGTACGCCCACAGCTAGGCTGCAACTGCAGTTTTTACAGCTCCCCAAAGTCAGGCTCATGGCAAACCCTGATCCCATCTGCCTCTGGGGATCAGGGCCAGAGTCAGGTAGGAGGGGAAGTGGGGTAGCGGTGGCCAGGTCCTAGACTTAGGCCTGCCACTGGCCTGATCCTGATGATTCGGTAGGGGACAGTTGCATCCCAGACCCTGCGGTTGCTCCATGTTGGATCCGGATGCTCAGCTGAGCATTGGAATGTTGCGTGAGGTAGCCCTGACATGCCACACACTTTGAGGCATAAAGATGTTCCACATTAAATGTGGAATGTCTTTGTGGCTCATCTGTTACATTATTATGGTATAAATTGGCTTCAATGTGTGGCACACTGGGTGCGTCTACATGTACCCCTACAGCACCATTGTTACAGCGCCGTCATTTAGTACCTCCTTTAGGAAATACTAAAAGATGGCGCAGTAACGGCTGTTGCATAGTTATTTGTAGCTGCTACGTCACTGTAGTGACGTGCTACAGCAAGGGCCCACTGACACTATTGTTTGGGTCTGCTGATGTAACGTAGTGTCTCATGTAGACACGTCTACTGTTACTATTTATAGCATGATTCATACGATAACCACGCCATAAATATAACACCTGCCAGGTCCTTCAGCTTATGTTAATACAGATAAACCATGGTGTGCTGCTCTCCTTGTTTATATTGGAAGAAATCATAAATAAAATGTAGTTTTTTATACTGTATTGTTGTTTATTATTCTTAATTTATGTTGCATTTCTATATCTCTAGTTATTTCTATTATATCTAGTGTAAGCCAATGCTGACACTATACTAACACTAAATGATTCACTATACGTACCTTTTTTTGTGAATAAAGAGCACTGAAGCCCACTTGTGACATTTCCATTTGGAATGTATTGCCTTGATCTGTACCTGGTGCAATAACATAACTTTGTTATTCATATATTTTTTAAACCAGTAGAATATTACTTGTGCAAGATGTTGAGCCCAATCCTGGTGCTGATGAGGGCAAGTGGAGCAGGAATGAATATTTAATTTGACAAATAAATAATTAGCAATAATTATATAATAATACCAAATACATTACATGCTTTCAAAACTCCACATCTTCTTAAAACATACTCAGCATTGCTGACTATGGAAATCTAATATTTAAATGGTAATATTTATCAAGATTTTAATAAGGCACAGGAATCATCCACATTTACAAGATATTAACAAGGATATCAGTGTGAAGACAGACTATTGTAATCCTTCAGTACCTCAGCTGGTAAAAGCTGGCATAGCTCTCAAGACCCCTGGAGTATATTACCTTCTATACTAAATATACGGTCTCCCAGTGTTCCTGCTTCTTCCAAAAGCGCAGCCTCAGAGGACACATTAAAGAAATACTTTTCTGTTGGAAGACTAGCAATTCCTTTGATTTCTTTAATTAAATTTTTAGTGTCAAGTTCATTTCTGATTAAGTATCCTAAAACCTTGAAAAAGAGAAAAAGAAACCTTGGTGTGACTTAATTCCATCAGTATTACACATGCAGATACTTGATATATGACAGGAAATTGAAATTAATGTAGAGTCTCCAGCCAAAATCCATTTCCCCCACAAATTATTCATGCAATTCTTAACCCAACATCTTACATTGACTACCTGACATTTATAGTAAGATGAACTGATGTTAGTAGATAAGAAAATAAAAAGTATTATGGCAATCATAATATTAAGGTCAAGAAATTGAATCCGAGCCCTCTAGCTTTGCAATTTCTGCAGCCATTTACACCCATGCCAAGTGAGCACAGAGCAGATACATCAAACTGTAGCATCTTCCATTCCCTTCATACATCTGTAAAAGACCATTCACAGAGAAAGGCAGTGGGAAAAAAAATCAAAACCCACACTGTTTAACCATTTTTGTCAAACTTGCCAGCTTTGAAGTATTGTGTTCTTACATGACAAACAACTCAAATGGGAAAAGAAATGTAAAAGAAACTAAAGAGTATAACACTGAGGAATGGTCAGGGTTCACTAACCCTACTTTTTAAGCCAAAGAACATTAACCAACGAAAATGATAATTAATATAAACTATTAATTATATACAAAAACTTAAATTACATTGGTTGCCAAATGTGAGGTCCATCCCATTCCCATCTTGGTGATGTAATGACGCATACATATATACACTTTTAATTAAAACATTCTTGCCAAAATTGCAGTAAAATAATATTACTTACAGCTATGCCAAATCTGGTTATTTTGTCTTCGTTACATTTAGCTATCACTGTTTCCAAAGCAGAACCATCATGAGATTCACCATCTGTCACAACAACCATTACTTTTGTGGCTGCCTGCCGTCCCCCCGACTCAGGGGAAAAAGCATGACGCCTGTAACAAAGCACTAGACTTATTAAGCAGAAATGAATTTAAAAGATGTTGTTTTATATGCATACATTAATTAATGTTTCTATCACTAATATTCAACAAAATATATTGGCAATGTTTTTCTCTTTAAATGAAAGATCTTAGCTAGTTATAGAAATAATGCTTAGGGTTTCAAAAGCGCTGCCCAGAGATCAAATGCCATAACAACAGTTAAAAATTGAAAAAATGAGAAAAAAATAACTACAAATGATATTTCCAATGGAAGTCCATTTTCTTTTCAAAGAAGCTAGGGGTTTTTTTGTCCAAAAATTATTTTAAGTGAAAAGTTTTCACCAGTTTTGCTCACAATATTCCCATGAAGCCAAAAATGTCAGAAATAGGCTCCATTTTAGGTGACAGCAATGAGGCAAGGAAACTAAAGAAGATATCTGTGCTATGCTACTGAAAACCTGGTCTTCACTGCAGTCAGAAGAGGTGCCTAAGGGCCCTGATATTTGTTCAGATTAAAGCTGGATAGAAACCAGCTACAGATAAAGCTGTTACACACTTTCAAGCACTAACTTTACAGCTGGTTAGTTCTTTTTATAACTGGATAATCATTTTTATGGTGTGATAATTACTTTGTATGTGTGGCTAATCTAGATTTATTGTGTAACTAACCAGCTGATTAATATATATAACATGTAGCTGGGGCCTAAATGAATAACCTGAGTAACTGCATCAGGATTTGAAATATAGCCTGTTTTGACTTTAAATGTAGCACCCTCAAGGCAAGCTCATCACCTTGCAAGATCTTTAGTTAGAAACATATCACAATAATTACCAGTACACTTTACCTTGCATAGTCAATAGCTTTGAAAGTATTAGTCAAAGTTCCTCCTTTTTGCTCAGTATTTGACATTGCCTTAACAACTTCATCTTTTGTTTTGTAAGTATTCAAGTTGAATAGTACCCTTGGCTTATTACCATATAGAACTAAGCCAACCTAAACAACAATAAACAAAGTATATTTGCATAAAGCCTTGCATTAAAATCAATCACACAGAATCATAATACTAACTTCTTTTTGTCAAGCTAATGATGTACAATATCTAGAGATATAAAAGAATTTATACTTTTCCTTCAGTACATATGACCTCAAATAACATTCATGCACATTTTGTAAAGCAAAATGTAACAATACATAACTCACATACATTTACATCTTGTGTCTTTAATCTATCCTACTCAATAACAAATTCAATGAACCAAAACTTATATAATGACTATATTTTTTTTTTCTTCAAAAGTTCTCAACACAGCTTCTATTAGAACAGCAGGCATGAGTAATGTTTACTGGTATGGCATGGATAAGGAGGTCTCAGCTAATAGTGCTTTTCCCCTGCTATCTTTTGGACTCCTCCTAGATGTCCAGGTAAAAAAAGTGTGATGGGATCTGATGTATGATCCACACAATTGAGCTTCCTGCGATGTCATGCATGCATGACATGAGGTGCGATTGTGGGATTGAGCATCAAATCGTATCACGCCACACTGCTGGTGCAGGGGAAGCCCAGGATTGTGATCCTGAGCTCCCCCTGTGTGGCAAGTAGCAAGCTCCCAGCCTCACGAGTGCATTGTGTGCCCCCATGGCTGGGAGCCCAGATCAGTTAATGGGGCTCCCACCTGTGGGATTTCATGATGCTCCCCTACTGCTGGGAGCCCCATTACCTGCAGACTCCCAACCACAGGGGTGCAGCTACCTACACATGGCATGATAGGAACCAGTCACAAAGTTATTCTACATTTTTTCACACACAGAAACAAAATTTTGGCAGTGAATCTAGGAACAGAGAAAGGCATGGTGGCTATGCTACATATGCACAGGGAGCTCTGAGCTCACTGCCTGGTCAGCATGGACTCCTGCTGGAGTCCTATGAGCCATGAGTTCTGAGCAAACCAGCTGATCAGGGCAGGGTCTGGCTGGAGCCCATGCTTTCACATGGCTCCAGGGCCCAAGGGGGAAACACTGCTGCTGTTCACCTTTTCCCTTCCTCCCCACTGAATTCAGCAGCAGGAGAAAGGAGCAGATGAGCAGTGGCTGCAGTGCTCAGCTTCTGCATTCCCGAAATGAACGAAAGCAGGAACTCTGGCCAGATCCCGCATTGTGAGTACAAAACAACCAAAGTGGGTGTGGCTGCTGCTATACCCCTTCTGGATTCATCTCTGCACTTAAATACCTTTACTAAAGAAAACGTAGGTGTCTATCATCTCTCCAGCACTTAAGAAGTTGGTCAGCATTTTTGTAGGTCTCTGTGTTGGATTCACCTGCTTGGCCCTGAGTATTTGTGCTGTGGCTGAATTCATACATGAATGTTCTAACCTCTAGGAGCCTCAGTCTGCAGAGTAAAAACTGTGTACATAGTAGATTTTAGATTTCAGATTTTTTGTGTTTAAGGAAAAAAATTGAAAAGAAAGAAAGGCCTAGCAGGAGTTTGCTCAGGCAGCCTTTGCACTGTGTGTTTTAAGTTCCAGATTCTTAATTGGATTCTCACGTTTCTTTTTCCACAGCAACGTGTCTTGAATTTTTATGCTGCACAACTGAATTTCTGAGGTATTAACTGGTGGGTTCAAGTTAGATGCACATTTCAAAACAGATGCACTGTAGTGGGTGAACTTTAGATAAGTGTATATCTTACATTTCAGGAAAAGGCCCACTGCTAGGTATATCTTGAGAACATTTATATGCATATATCTCAAATCACACAAAGGTTCTACTATACCATAAGGATCATGCCAAAGCTAAGTACCAAAAATCAGTAATTTTTGTTATAATTTGTTAGAATTTTTAGGAGTGGAAAATGTTCCTCATTTTCATCAATTACATTTAAAAAAAAATACTGCACAGTTACTAATCATGAGGACATTTTCTACATGCATTTGCAGGTAGCAAATCTAATCATGATTAGAGCCAATTACTGCTCAGTAAGCATCTGCATATGTTTACTGTGCAGTAATTAGCTCTACTGTGCAGTAAAGTCTCTTGTGTAGACCCACTGAGAACTATAATGCATTAAGGAGCAGAGAGTTCTATTCTATTCTTAATATATTTACCCAGCAAAAATGTTATGCATTATCACTTAGAAGAGAACAGGTGTGTGAGTGTATCGAAAAATCATACAGATTTTCAATAATATATTGGAATATATCATGCCAATAATATTGCCTATTGGAAATAATATAGTGGTTTGGGCCTCTGGCATCACACACAGCTCTGCTCTTTCTCTGCTCCAGATACAGGCCAGAGAGGGGGATCCAGTCACATGCCATGGGTCACCCCTATTCTGTTTGGGGCCTCTAGCCACATGGATCTGGGGTGGGGGCATCTTCAGTAATATACAGATCCCAAGAACTGAGACAACTTGGAAACTGGAGGGCCCAAGGGGATGAAGCTGCAGGACCGAGCAACCCTGTATCACACTCCCTTGCTTGACAAAATGCTGCTGCATGTTACTGCGGTGACTTTGGAGTGCTCTGCTGTGGGGCCTGACATTTGTACAGAATTTGAAAACCTGTGCATTTTAAATGCTTCAAATTGGGAGTAGAATTTGGAGCACTTCAAATGTCTGTCTTTCTTGGTCTCAGTTTCCTTTAAATTTATTGGAAAAGGCTAATACTATTTATTGTTACCGTTTGGGTTTCAAAAACTAGTTATAGCCTTACCTGAGTTTTTGTGGGGCCTATATCTAATCCTTGTGCAAATTTTTCCAAAAATGCCCTCACTGCATTCCATGGATAAATGCTGTTAGACTCATCACACACAACCACAACATCTATGAAGGAGGAACACTCTAAAAAAAAGAGAAGTTACTGATACAGAACATTGAATACATATTTTCAGTATTATTTACAACTCGTGACAAATCTAGAGGTTCAAACTTAGTTCTTAGCAGGCAAAGTGTATTGCCATCAAGGCGGTTTCCCACAATGAGAGTAGCATAAAAACAGGCCAATCTGGGGCCTACTTTTATCTCTACCACGTTACATGGCTGTGACCCCTCTGTTTTCTGTGGAGTGACTCCTGATTTGCAGCACTGGAGATATCAGAGTCAAGCCCTCCTTGTGAACTTCAAAATCTGGCTCTTTGTAAACTGAATTTTGAAAAATCAAGTTAAGCCTTCTCTATATGGAATCTGTCTTGACTTTGATTAATTAATAATCAATCATTTTGTCTGCATTGCCTTACTTTGAAGAGCTGGTGAAAAGCTTCTTAGGATCTGGAAACTTGGACTGATTTCAGAACAGACTCCCGTTGCATAGTACTGACTTCCACACTGCTGTGCCCATAAGGGACCACACGTCTTTAAAAAAAAAAGAGGAAAAATAAAACAACATATACTTTCCCATTTTATACCTTCATAAAAACATCATATTAAATAGTGTGCACAAGGTCAGTGGAATAGTTTCCTCTAAACTAGATACACCTCAACCTCCCAGCAGGTTAAAATTAACCTGTGCAGACCTCTGTGTTGTTATGATTAGACCATTTCTCACACCTGAACTGGCTCATTTAAAGCTAATTTTGGTATCTACAGCACATTGTAATATGCTCTTCAACTGATCAGGAGGGAATACCATACCAAGGAGCTACTGTGTATATCCCCTACAGAGTTTGCCATGTTATTGCACGTGGTGGGACATATAAGTGAAACTAAAAAAAGGGACATATAGAGTTGTGAAAACATATACACACTTCAGTCATCAGGAATTAAGAGATTTATTGATTGACGATGCTGATTCTTGTTTCATTGTGAAGGGCCTGGCACATGAAATCACAAAGCCAACAGCAAGTATTTTTGAAAAACTATCTAGTCAGGAGAGGCAGTAGATGACTGGAGAGTAGAGCATAATACCTTTGTTTATAAAGCAGGAACCAAAGCAAGAGTGTTTGTGCCATGGTCCTTTCAGATTCTGCCTGGAAATCCTGCTAAACACCTACCACCACAAAAAAGTATATAGTTCTGGCTATAAGTCAGATTATATCTGAAATCCACTGCAGTCATCCATGTCACCCAAAAGAGCTCCTAACAGCAGTCATTATTGATAATTATATCAACAAATGCTGAAGGATTCTCAGGTGCCATATAAGACCTTGGCCTTCTATAAAAGGCTAAAATGTGTGCTGACTTCACATGTTAGGTGCTGTGCCTCCAGGGATTAATAAAAACTGTCTGTGAGTAGCAAAAATGAATCTAGTTAGTCCACTGGGGGAACTACGCAGTATAGAAGACCTTGCCGGAGCTCCAGACCCAACCATACTGTACGTCAACTACTAGAAAAATCTATGATCATGGTGGCAGAATACAAGATGTAGGCCTTCATTTTAAATTAAAATGATTTTAAATAGGACCATATGCAGAGAAGTATTGCTATGATGATTAGGGATCTGGATATCCTACCTTATGAAAAGAGACTAAAAGAGGTTGGGTGGATTACCCCAAGAAAATGACAGCTGAGAGGTGTATATTTGCTGTGTACAAAATCAGTGGAGAAGGAGAAACATCAGAGCTAGAGCTATTTAAAGTATTTAGCTATTGAAAAGTAAGGACAATGTTAGCACAACATAAATAGGTGTAAAATGATCATGGCCTAATTCAGGGTAGGAATTAGAAAAAGATTTCTAAACATCAGGATAGCAACGTTCTGGAACAGCATTCCAATAGGAAAAGGGGGCAAAAATCTTACTAGCTTTGAAGTGGAGCTTGATAAGATTGAGAAAAGGATTCATATGACATGAACAGCAGGGACTGAACACAGTAATACAGGAGCTCCCATCCCATCTTATATACTTAAATTGAAGACAGAGGGCACCTCTACGTGTGCCCAATGCCTGCTCCGATGCATTCTAATCGGAATGCACTGCAGCAGAAGCAGCGTCAAGTGCATTCAGCAGCCCCATGTTTCAAAATGGGGGCAGGGCACTTTAATTAAAGCTTACTTGACGAGCTTTAAAGTGCTCCTGCCACCATTTTGAAGCGTGGGACACTGAATACATGAGACACTGCAGGCATTTTAGTTGGAACAGGTCCTGAGAGCTACTCTAATTAAAATATCCCTCCCTCCCATCCCAGACCACGTGTTAAAACATCCAGAAAAGCTACTGTCAAATGAGAGTTGTTCAAACAGTAGCATATGTGAAATCAGTTAGGTTCTTAGTGGACACACATCTACACTGGTATCATAATGGCAATTAATGGTATTTAAACTGGAAATTTCTGCCATGGAAATCAAAACTGATTAACTGAGAAACTGGACTAACTTTTTCACAGAGTTAGTCCTACCCAGTCGAGGTTGAGGCAAATTGGCTATGAAGATTTCAGAGTCAGTCTTTGTATTGTTATGTTTATATTTTACTGAGGATTAGAGAATTAGGCTTTCCAGTACTGATAGTACAGTATCTTTTTCAAGTCCTACCTATTTTTTCAGGAATGTGCCATAAGCAATAGCAGGGAATGTGCTGCATTTAGAAAACAGGTCACTTCCTCTCACACTAGTACTACTAGTGCTAGTATTTTGACTAGCTTCTGTGTCAATTTTTCATTTTCTCTTTCCCTTTTGCAAAAAAAAAATCATGGATAGGCAATTTCTTCCTTTTAGGCAAGAAGTATACAATAAGGCTTCTGCCAGGTGTATTAATTATGTGCTGTATGATTCATAGATCTATTATCAAAACATTTTGCTGGGATATTTGGTACCAGTTGATTTCAATATGGGACATACACTTGGTGATGTTAATAAATGGCAGCCTTAAAGTACAAGGTTAATTTTAAGCATATGACTAGATCCATTTTTCTTTAATGGAGTCACTCACAGTTTTGAAAGTTGGCATTTTAAAGCACCTTATCAGGGATCCTGGTTTTCTCTGAATTAAGAAAATCCAATTTTCGATTAAAAAAAGGTTACCTCAAATCCACATTTTTCCACTAGATCTATCTATTCTAGATATATATCTAGGTATCTATATCATAGATCCATCCATCACAGATCTATCTATCTTTATTATTGGTGTTTCATTTAAATAATGGATTTGGAGTTACTTGTTTTAAAACCGAAAATTAGGGATTTTTTTTTAAATCAGAGAAAGCCAGGATGCCTGCTTATAATGTAAATACACTTCTAAGCACCTTTTAAGGACCCTAGAAAAAAGAACTAGTAATGATAATAAATGGCTAGATGGCCTTAAGCTACAATGGAAAAAAATACTAGGTATTCTAAAATGAGCTACATTTAAAAATTAATTGTTAATTTAGTTTAAGAAAGAAAACTACAGCTGAATATCTTTCATGTTTACTATTTCACTACATTAGTTACTATACATGTGTATGATGTGAGCATCTTCAATTGGAATATGAATACCTCTCAGCAGTATATATAATAGTGTTGATCTGACATCATTTTGTAAACTCTACCATTGCTGTGGTAAATCTTTGAACATACCTGTCTGAAGGGTATAAAATGTATAAATACTATAAAGAATTGTTTATGCATCAGCTGCAGCGTGTAAACCTGACATCCAATATACACATTTATGGATCACAGAAAATGCAAGCTTTTAGTAGGCTCTTATGGTATATAATTTTATATTCTATTATAAACAAGCATAGAAGATATTCCATGGGGTCACAAACATGGAGTGATATACAGTATTGTGTGTAAATTTTTCATTTTAGTGTTGTTTTAACTATGAACAGAATTAATTTATCTTCCTTTTTTTAAGTGAACTTCTATGTATAGCATTTTTTTTCCCCTCACAAGTGTTATTTGAAAAGAATCCTTTTGGAGATTTAAAAAACAGTGAAGCAATGCATGAACTGAATCTGTCAATTCACAACTTGCCTGAAATATTTACTTGCAATTCTTTATTATAAGCTGGAAAAAATATCCCAAGTACTATAGAACAAAACTTTTACAGCTGGTCCAGGGAATGAAGAGTCACATGCCTGAACAGTAACTGAAGTTCTTTGAAAGCATTGTCCATTTGCACATTTTGCTATTGGTGTGTTCGCATCCTATGACTTCAAGCTGCAGGGCAGCATTATCCATTCAGCCTCTGTGTGGAGACTGCTTTGCCATTCATTCTTTCAGACTATAAATGTGCAAAGTGTGAGGGCATAAATAGTTTTGTCCTTTATAGATATACTACATTTTGGTGTTCAACATTCAAAATGTTGAGAAACTCCTCTGCATGAAGTTTTAGGGAAAATATGGAAATGTGCATCTCAAATGGCACTCTGAAATGACCTCTGACAGGAATATGGGGACCATATCTAGATGCAGAACCAGGGAGGGAGAGCCAGCAATTATGGACTACTTCTTTCCAGTTTGGCTTGCTGAGTTGATAGCTAACCAAAATGTCATATCCCATGATGGCTGCAACAGGAAGAATGTTGCCATTGGTGCCAAGATGAACATGGGCCGGCAGTGTGGGGATGCAGTCAGGAAGGCCAACCGTACCTTGTCATGCATCCACAGATGCATCTCGAGCAGGTCCAGGGAGGTGATACTCCCCCTCTGTGAGGCACTGGTCAGGCCACAGCTGGAGTACTGTGTCCAGTTCTGGGTGCCACACTTCAAGGGGGATGTGGACAACATGGAGAGGGTCCAGAGGAGGGCCACTTGCACGATCAGGGGCAGCAGGGCAGGCCCTACGAGGAGAAGCTACAGGACGTGAACCTGTTCAGCCTCTACAAGAGAAGGCTAAGGGGATCTAGTGGCCTGTTACAAACTAGTCAGAGGGGACCAGCAGGCATTGGGGAAGTCCCTGTTCCCCTGAGTACTACCAGGAGTGACCAGGAATAACGGTCACAAGCTGGCAGAGAGTAGATTTAGGTTAGATATCAGGAGGCGCTACTTCACTGTCAGGGCAGCTAGGATCTGGAACCAACTTCCAAGAGAAGTGGTGCTGGCCCCTACTCTGGGGGTCTTTAAGAGGACGCTAGATGAACACCTTGCTGGGGTTGTTTGACCCCAGTACTCTTTCCTGCCATGGCAGGGGGTCGGACTCGATGATCTGCTCAGGTCCCTTCCGACCCTAGAAACTATGAAACTGGGGGACCCATGACAGTCAAAAGTACTTGGCTGAGATCCTGCAACAGGATTCAATTTCTGATAGGTGCAAACACAATAGTTGGACTCTTTGAAAATATTAACACAACTGAGCAGGAAAAAAGGATGGTTTGAGTGCTAAGATCTTTGTTCAATGCACCTTGACTAAGCTCCTTCTCCTCTGATGCTAAACCCACCAATCATGGGATTTTGGCTAGCTATAATTTTATGATTTTGGGACCAATGCTCACCCAGGTGTGTATGCACCTACCCAGCCAGACAGCAGTGGCCACTTCTACATTCAGACTGCATGTGGCACAGGAATGCAAACTGTGCAGAAGTGCTCAAAATAGCAGTTACATGGCTAGTTAAGTACCATTTGAGTGTGCAAAGTGAAACAGTTTGGCCCATAATGTCTGGGTGCTGAAAATGTTTTTCTTATACTCGGATGCTCATGGTCTGACAAGAGGGACCTGACAGTGGGCAAAACCGTGTGATCTGAAAAAAAGATTTGTTTTTGCTTTGGAAGGATTGGATCTGAATTTTAGGATCAGGCCAATAAGGTTCTAGAACCTGTTCTGGGGTATATAAGCCACCTCTGCTGTGCATCTTAAGACCACCCTGATAAACTTGAGTCTTTGAAATGGAGTGAGACTCAACTTCTGGATTCCAACTTTAAAGCACAGATTTGGTAATACATCAGGAAAGAGAAATACCATCACATCAGCTGCCTGTCCAGGTCAGAGTACATGGAGGTATACTGCCATAACTTTTAGCACTTTGCTGAACATCCTTGGAGCAAATCAAAGTCCTACTGGTAAAACAGTGTATTGATTTACACCTACCACAAATCTCAGGTATGTCCCATGTAATGGCACGATGGATACCTGGAAATGCATATCCTCAAGTTCAAGAGATGTGAAAAAGTTGCTTGAGTCCAGGAAGGGAATAATCAAGTATAATCAAGCAGGATGATAAATTATGAACTTCTGAGATTCCACACATGTCACACACCCTCCCTTCCTTCTTAGAATTAGAAAGTTTGAGCTGTAAAACCTTCTTTTCTAGTAAGGGTGAGGGACTGGTGATGTCTCATTCATATCCAGTTTTGGGCACTGAAATTAAAGAACATTTGAAACAAGACAAATTGGATAGAGGAGAACAAAAAAAAAGGGATTAAAAGGATTAAAGGTTTAGAAAACATGACTTAAAAGGAAAGGTTGAAAAAAGTGGCATTGTTTAGCCCAGGAAAGAGACTAACGAGGGAACTGATAATAGTCTTCCAATGCCTGATGGGTGATTATACAGAAGATGGAGATAGGTTAGTCTGTGCACACAGAGAGCAAGACGAGAAATAACGGTTTTAAATTGCAACAAGGTTAGGTATTATATAGACCTTTTTCACTAGAAGGGTGGTTAAACTCTGCAACAGGTTACCATGAGAAGCTGTGGAATCTCCATTCCTCGAAATTAAAAGCAGGATAGATAAGTTCTTGGTTGGAACACTTTTGAAAAAAAAGATCCCTGCCTTGAGTCAGAGCTGTACTAGATGACCTCCAGAGATTGCTTCCAGCCCTATTTTTCTATGAGTCTGTGACTTCTATCATACACAAAATAAAAAAAGAAATAGGACTTTTGATATAGAAGGACTGTTTGAGAAAGGTTCCTGAAGAAGAAAGGGGAAGTGGAGGGAGTCGTCAGGTGAAACTGAACATGCAAGAACACATATGCCCGAAGTAGGCAAGATGAGTCCCAAAGGGTTCCTGTATCGCGTGGGCTGCTTCAGCTTTCTCAGTAGTCCAAGTGATCTGGGTGATCAGGGTACATTAATCTATGGAAGCATTATCTGTTTTTGAGGGCCTAGACAACTGCTGGTAGACAAAGGATTGTGTGACCACAATTGACAGACTATAAGTATGCTACTTGTTGTGCTCTTTTATGTACCAGGGTGCATGTGAAGGCATCATCTACTCTGATGCTGAACAACTCTGCTCCCTTGAAGGGTCTTTCACAGTGGTCTGTACTCCCTAGCAGAAACTGGATCCCTGTGACCATACTGGGTTGGTCAGGTGACCTTTGCTATTTCTGGGAAATATACCCACTGAAACTAAGGTTTCTTGCAAGCTAGTTTTAGCCACTGTTTGACCCTGTGCCATCAAGAAAGCAAAATTCTTTTTCATGTCTAGTGACACCCTGTCCAGGAAGGAAGCTAGCTTATCAAACACTAGAAAGTTGAGCCTGACAGCTAGCGACTGTAAATTGTGACTTTATAGAAAAGCTTGCCTTGTGGATGATACATCCTGTTTCTATGACTGTCTTTGGGAATCATACAATTTAGAGGCAAATTCTCACTAACAACTACCCCATGCAGAGGGGATGGCACTGGACAGGTTTAGAAGTACTCTTGCACTTTGGATGGGACCTGGTCCTTCTTACCCAGGTTCCTTGAAGTGTGGGTTGTTATGGTTTGTGTTTGCCAGGCCACTCTAGCTAGATAGATGATCAAGTAGTCCTTTCTCTATAAAAGTCCATTGGCCTCAATATGGTGCAGGTGCTCACCAATAGCGCAATATATACAATGAATCACTAAAAGGAATAGTTAATGGCCGCTCCATATAAAAAAGCAAACAGCCAAAATTCAAATAAGTACCCATAGCTCTCCAGTAAGATTTGGAGCTTTAGATAAACTATTTAAACTTATCTAGGATAACTTCATCTCTTCTCTTGGGCTGTTCCATCAACTAGGCAGGTCACACTCGGTGCGTCTACATGTTAAATTAGTGTGATGCAATAATCTCTGGTGCAGTTTACACCAGTTTATTGCTCCTGAGCAAAGCATTTACATGTGCACCTGGGACTGCAGAATGGTAAGCTGGGGTGGCGCAGCTGGCAGGGGATACGGGTGGTCAGCCAACCAGCCCAGAACTACTCTGCCCTGGCTCAACATACTGGAAAGGGGCTGGCTGGGGCATGAGGGCACTACAAGGGTACTGGTTGGGGCATGAACGCCACATGCCTCTGGAGGCTGGGGGGGTGGGGACGGAGCGACCGCCCACAGCCAGTGGCAGTGGGGAGCTCCCACAGGTAGCCACAGCAGTGTTGGCGGCAGGGGCAGGCCCAGCGGGGAGCTCCTGTGGCCAGCTGCAGCAGTGCTGATGGCAGGGGAGGGGGCGGTGGTGGTGTCAACAATGGAGGGGAGAGGGAGGTGGCAAAACAGAAACTGCCTGCAGATGCCACCAGCAGCGTCACCAGCACTTTTTGCAGGGGTACACTGCCAAGCTCAGGGGGTGCATGTGCACCCGTATGCACTCCCTATGCATCGCCAATGGGCTGGGGCATGAGTCTGGCTGCAGCACAAAGTCCCAGGCTAGCTTGCAGGGGCTAGTCACCATCTACATGTGCATTGCAATGGAGTAAATAACTCTGTCGTATGATAGTACTTGTATTGGGCAGTAATAACCTACAGCCAAGTTAATTAATTTCCTGTGACCTAATAGCTCCGCACATGTAGATGAAAATGCTTTACTGCAGAGTGAATTAAACAACTCCGCAGTAAGCATCTCATGTAGATGCCCCCACTGAGGGTGAAGCAGAGCCAACCACATAAGGAGGAGTTCCAGTGGGCCTTCTAGGTACCTATATATGAGCAGGGAGGCTGTTCTGACACACTATAATGTCAATGCGTTGGAGCAGACTCAAGTATTTCACTCTTCTGAGGCATGGAATTTACCATGCTCCAGGAGCAGCTTTCTGCATCTTGTGTATCAGCATTCCCACATTTCAAAATGGTGGCGGGGGCACTTTATCTAAAGCTTGTTTGACAAACTTTAGATAAAACACCCCTGGCTGCCATTTTGAAGTGCAGGGACCCTGATACACGAGATGCTCAGGACATTTTAATTAGGGAGGCTCTTGGAGCCACTCTAATTAAAGCGCCTCTGTCCCACTCCTGGAGCTTGTGTATAAACACCCTCAGAGTCAAGATCTCCAGCATGCAGGATATGTATTCTTCTGGGACACAGTTATCCCATGGCCTGCTCCTTTATTACAACCTGGAATGGAAGGGGAAAAGCCACAAGGACACACAAACAGAGCAATTCCTGCATTTACAAAAGATATTACACTTTTCCAGGGTTACTGTTCATAAGTTAACAAGGAAGGATTTCAGATTAATGCAACCTCAAAGAAATACAAAAGATTTATTACAAAAGCAACCTGGTTTCTTGTTAATATAACATACCTATGTTCAACATGACTACTGTCAAAATGGTTCACTGAAGTAACTAACTCAATGCCTACAGGATAAGCCATCTTTGTAAGTCTGTGTAACTTGCAGAATCTTCTCCTATCGTGTATATTCAAGCCTTTAATTACATATTCTCATTATAGTGTTCTGTATGACTCCTAACTGCCCTATGACCCCTGACATTGCAACCCAAATAACATTGTTTTAATGTAGGTTTGTAAAGTGTCATATGAAACATGCAGTAATTTACATTTCATAATGAGATATTTTCAGCTCAGATTTCATTTATATATGTAGCACTACAGGTGTCACATTTTCATGAATAACATTTAGTACTTACTGCATACAGCTTTGATTCTTACCAAAAATCCTTTTGTTTTGGGGTTTCTTACTAGAGTTAAACCAAGGTTCATCTCTTCTTTTATCTCAGTAACATTTGGAATGCTGGTTAGAGCTAAAAAAAAAGTGATTAAATGATAGAAAAATATTAAATCATTATATCTTCCTCATTTACAGAATTGGAAGCTTCTAACTAAGTGGGGTTTTAGAAATCTTTTGAATCTCCATAAAATGTTCTCAGCCTAAACAAAAGAAAGCTACCTGGTGTGAGAAATTTGGCTAGATTAGCATTTTTAATTAGAGTGCGTCTTCTAAAGAGTAAAAGGCAATTCAATAAGCCAAGATCCCCCCCCAGTAGCTGTACAACAACACAACATGATTCTTTTTACTGGATTCAGGGGGCACCTTTTATGTTTACACTACTTAGGATTTCAGGTCTCTTTAAACAGGTGTCAAGTCCAAGTCTCAAATACACCAGATAGAAAATATCAGGTAATAGAGAGATTCAGAATAGGAAAAGTATGTTTACAGGATTAACCCTGTCACAGGGCACTAAGCTGTACCTGCTTCTTTAAGGGCAGAAGCAGCCTAGCAAAGGAGTCCTGCAGGCTAGGCAGAGCTCCACAGCTGCAGATTATTTGAGTACAGGGTGGCCATCATAGAGGACATTCTGGTTTTCTACTACTCTGTCCTCTGTTGATATGAAACTGGATGCCCTTATGTTCTCTATTTTTCTCTTCTTGCCTTTATGTCCTCTATTTCTCTTAGAGGACATAAAGGCGTCCAGTTTCATATCAATAAAGAACAGAGAAAAACCAGACTGTGCTCTACGATGGCCATCCTACCTGAGTAACAGGTTACAGTAATTAGCTGGCACCTGCAGGTGGTCAGCTGGCTGGAAGGAGGCAGAGCCCAGGGAACATGGCAGGGCTCAGGGCAGGGTTCTCTTTCTCTCTGACAACTGCCAAGAAAAGGAACTGCTGCACATGAGCTACCCAAGCTACCTGTGCTGCCTGCTTTGCTACCTCCAAGCATATTAAGACTCTAGGAGTTCACAAGGTACCCAGGGGTAAATGCTATCCTGAGGGTGGAAGCTTGCGCTCTTAAAGGGACAGAGTGCTGCCCTCATGGTTGTTGTTATGTTATAGTCCAGGGGATTATGTCTGTGTTATTGTTTGTGCTGGTGGTTTGGGATGAGACTATTAGGGGAAGTTGATGCCTCATTAGTGCCCAGAGGGGGGCACACAATTGTGTAGAGCCCAGTGCCAGGGGGAGCGCAGCTGCTGGAGGGCTGGAGAGCCCAGCGCCAGGGGGAGCGTGGCTGCTGGAGGGCTGGAGAGCCCAGCGCCGGGCGGGGGTGGGGTGCGGCTGCCAGAGGGCCGGAGAGTCTGGTGGCAAGAGGAGATGGATGGGTGCTAGTGCCTCAAAGCCAGACCCAACACAGTAGGTCTAGGCTAGAAGATCAAGCTATGGAGGCAGAGTAGCCTGAGACTCTGACAGAGGGAATAATAGTCATGTAACACCAGCGAGGCATGGAGGGTGGCAAAGGGGAGGTTTGGATCCATGCAACTGGCCCATAAGACCTCAGGTGCCCTGTGAAGCACAGTATTGAAGAGAGGCCTGGCAAAGGATTCAAAGACCGGTAGGCTTGAGTGAGGTTCAGCAGACTGGGACCAAATGAAATCCTGGGGGCAGCCTTCTGATTTATTTTACCAATAAGATGTGGCAGACAAGACCAGAGGGTTCCCTCAGAACAGAGCTTGCATGGTTGTGGAGATGCCAGGGCCAACACAGCCACACCTGGGGACCCGCTCTGTGACACCCCCCTATCAAAACTGTTTTTAATAACTTCCTGTTGTTTTGTCCCCCTCCCCATTTGTTTGTGAAATCTGACTCAGGATCTCATTTTATGCTTAGACTGTAAGCTTTTTGTGATAGGAACAGTGTCTGTCAGGTGTTTAAGTTTCTAGCACAATGAAACACCAATCGGAATCCCTAAGCAGAATTGCAATACAAATAATAACTACTACTACAAATACTATTACAACAAATGACTACTATGACAATTAACAAAAGATGCATCTACAGCTGATGCAAATGCATTAAAGGAAAAGTGGGAAAAGAGTTATGAGTAGGAATACAGAATTACATGAAAGCACTAGCAAGTAATGGCAAAGCTGTACAGCTCTAGAAGCTAAACGTATCTTGGGAATGTAATTATAAAGTTCTTAACTTCAGGAGATTCAGTATAGCTCTGCTTATTGCATTTTATTGCCTAATTTGGGTTTACCCAATAAATTTGGCTGGGTACAGAAGAGAGACTAAATGGATTATCCCAAGTTAGCATTAATTACAACTTACTTTGCAAATTTAGTTTTTCACATGTGGTTTCAGATGAGTCAACAGGACATCTGTATATATCTCCCATTCTATTAGCTGGATATCCACTCCAAGGTGAGCCAACAAGCAACCTAAAACAACGGGAAAGTGAGTCTTTCTTTGCTTTCTGAGAAAAAAAGAGCATGTTTATTTGAAGGTAAACTGAAAATTAAATGAAAGATTCAGAGGGCCTCTTGGTACTGAACTAAATGAGTTCCTAGGACTGTTTGTAGGAGTAAGTGGAAGAACTCTGTTTACAGGTATCCCAGAGCTGTGCTTTGTTTTGGCAATATTTATCATATGAGAGAACCCTACCGGAGAACAGAGTAGATGTATAGGAATGAAATGGTCAAACATCCAGTAGACTTTTAAATCTATTGTGTTATTATAATACATATGACAAAGCCGAAAGAAATGTAGCCAAGGTATTAATACTTACTAATACATTAGTTAATAATACATAAATTGTGAACTGGGACACATGGTGCATTTGACTGGAAGCAAAATACCCCTAAAGATTAGTCAGGTAACATGTTGAGAGGATTCTTTTAGGTTAACCTTTAACTGATGGGAGACAGTTCACTCACTAGCTACACAGTGGCTGCATCTACACGTACACTTAACTGCAGCTTAAACTAATTAGCTAGAGAGTAAAGCAACACCATTTACACATGTAACGCTATTAGGGTGCAGTAGACTAATTAATGCTACTGTAAGATAGTATGGGACAAAACTATTTTATAGTGGGATAATTAACTGTGATTAAATGCGTGTGTAAATGCTGACCATGGGCATAAATTGCCCAGTCAGCTCAGCCAGCAGGGGGTCAGACTCCTGTCTCCCACCTAGACACACAACTCCACACTTTCAGTACCCTTGTGTTGCAGGCATCCCTTCCACTGCCTGATGCCACTACCTGGAGCCTAGGGCTTATGTAGATGCTGTGCCCCAAAGTAGTTTACTTTGGCTCGAACTGCTCCAGAGTTTATTGCTTTGAATTAATTGCATATGTAGATGCATCCAATAAAAGTATTACTGCTGTCTGAGCTTGAACTGTGCTGCCATATCTTGAACACAGTAAGTCAGAAGGAAACTAGTGGAGGTGATGATAACAGACCACGTAGTTATTTAGAACTAAACAGGAACTTGTAAGTTATCAAACATTCCAGAGTCCATTGTCCTCTGATTCACATCCTTTCATTTGAGGAAGTAAAACACTTTACAGACAATACTCTATTAATTCCCAAATGCCCAAACATTTTTTGGTAATGAACACAATCTTTCCACTTTACTCAACTCTCAAGCCAGCAACCACGTAACACATGGGTAGCACCATACAACAGTTTAGGATAGGATGTAAAAGACAATTCAATAAAATTGAAAGTGCAGGGGAAATATAATTAAGTACTGTTTCCATGGAAATGAAAGGTAATATCTCAATGCCTGTATTGTGAAACCACTGAACAAAATATTAAAAAGGAAAACCCTTTTGTTTATATCTTTAAATATGCATGTTTCTGTTTATAGATTAACCTGTCAGTAACTGTAACAGTCTGCAGCCTTGCAGCCTGGATCAATTAGCCAATAATGAAGGGAAGCTGGCTGGCTGACTGGAAATAGAGAGACAGGAAGAGGAAGTGAGGAAGGGAGAACCTGAAGAGGTCATGGTCATGTGGAGAGTGAGGACTCCTCCAAGGAAGAATGAAGATTTTGGGGTGAAAACTAATCTATGCCTGTGGGGGCCCATTCTGGATTGTTTGATGCTTTCTGCTGAGTTCTGTGGTGTAAATTAACACCGGGCTTTGAGCTTGTGTTCCTGGGTCCAGAGAAGTACTGCGTTGCTGTGACCAGGTTAAAGGTGTATTTATTTTGTATTACTTATGTTTTTGGCTAAGCCCTGTGGAGCAGAAGAGCCCTGGCATTAGATCCTGTGCTGCTGAGCCTGCAGAGAAACTATGTTGCTGGGACTAAATTAAAGTAGTGGGTTAGAGTTCAAGGACTGACTTGTGCCTGGGGGAGCTAGGCTAATGCAGATCTCACTACATTAACCAATATTTACATAGAGTGGTAATAAATAGATTTAAAATAGTTATGATAAACATATCCTTATAATTGGAGGTGTAAATGGGCACTTGAGTGCCCTGAGCAGCAGCCACCCATGGGCCAGTCAATGCCATTACTCTCCCCATCCCGCCCTCAGGACTGGTGCCCTGGTTGCTCCCTTCTGTTATGTTATTGAAGTTCAACTGGAAATTATAACCTTTCTAAACAAATAAAAACCAACAACAACTGTGTGTTCCTTAACAAAATTACAGCAATGATATTTTCTACTAAATTAGGACATTTTTAGACAGCCTTTTCTATATACACCTTACATTTCCAAATCTACATTGACTAACATTTTATAGGACTCTTGCAGTAAAGTGGATCTGGTAAAATATATCTAGCTTAAATGTATAAGGAAGTGTTTCAGGATTACTTTTTTCTCTGAAGACGTTTAATACTTTCACATACACCTTTGAATATATTTAATCTCAATTTTAGTATAAAATAACTCTGTTTCATTTCGCCATCACTACTGAGTTAGCAAAAACATAACCAGGGAGGGCTATTCTGCAGTTGCTCGGGGATGTAGGGGGGTAAGTCAAGAAGGCCAAGGCAGAGATGGAACTGGGACTAGCTTCCCAGATTAAGGACAATAAGAAGTCCTGTTTTAAATACATAGGGGGTAAAAAGAAGGTCCCGGGTAATGTGGGGCCATTGCAGGATGCGTTGGGAAATTTGGTCGTCACACCAGACAACAAAGCTAACATGTTTAACAATTTCTTTGCCTCTGTCTTCCTAGGTAGGGACCAGAACAGCCACCTCCCTGCTGGGCCTCCCTTGGGCCCTGGGTGGGGGCACACCTGGGCCAAGGGTTAGCGAGGATTTAGTTAGGAAGCTTCTGGAGGGGCTGGATGTTTTCAAGTCAGCCGGTCTGGATGATCTCCACCCTAGAGTTCTATAGGAACTGGCTGAGGTCATTGCAAGTCCCCTGGCATGGCTTTATGAGCACTCGTGGTGCTCTGGAGAGGTACCGGAGGACTGGAAGAGGGCCAACGTGGTTCCCATCTTCAAAAAAGGGAGGAAGGAGGACCCGGGAAACTACAGGCCAGTTAGTCTTACCTTGATCCTAGGCAAGCTGTTTGAGAAAATTATTCTAGCACACATCCAGGAGGGGCCAGCAGGGGACTGCATGCTTAGGGGCAACCAACATGGGTTCATCAGTGGCAGGTCCTGTCAGACCAACCTGGTGGCCTTTTACGATCAGATCACCAGATCATTAGATGCAGGGGTAGCAGTGGACATAGTCTTCCTGGACTTCCGGAAGGCTTTTGACACTGTCTCTCACCCCGTTCTCATTAAG